ATCACAGCCAGCATCAGCACCGTGAGACAGTCACATCAGCACCACCATCACTGTCACACACCAGCAGCCCCATCGTCACCCAGCCCCCCCCCGCACCCCCCACCCTACTTTGGGCTCCTTAGCTTATTGAGTCCCCTGGTGGGGGCAGCAGTGGTGGAAGTGGGGGTCACGAACCACTCTGGGGGGGTGGGGGTGGGGAGTGGGCTCCCCCTCTACTGGGGGTCACGGTGTTATCCTGACCCCACCCCCCACGCCTCCAATCCCCTGATGGGGTGGTGTGGGGGAGATGAGACTCAGTCGAGGAGGAAGTCGGCCAGGGTCAAGAGGTCGTCACGGCCAAGGCCACCAATCAGCGTCACGACCGCTACGCCTCGGAGTCGCTTCCTTCCCTCTGCTAGATTCCGAAGCTGTTGCGAACGCAGCGCGGGGAATTGCCGTACACCTACCTAAGGCGCCGTTGGTTAGCCAAGGTATATCGACAGCTTAGGTATGTTGATAACCTAACGTGTGTTGACACCTAGTGTGTGTTGACACCTCATGTGGGTTAATACCTAGTGCCTGTCGGTACGTAATGCCTGTCGGTAGGCTTAAATATTGTTGACGACCGCCGATGAAGGTATTGTTGGGGGAGATGGCCGGGGTGTGAATTATTATTATTATTTGGAGGGGAGGGGTGGAAGGTGAGCGGGCGGGTGGGGGTGGAATTAGCGTTTCTACAACTCGGCTCGCTCTGCAATTTCCATGGAAATTGGGGGGGGGGGGGGTGGACGAGGGAGGGGGATGGAGGAGGGAGGGATGGATGGATGGGGGGGGAGGGGGATGGAGGAGGGAGGGGGTGGAGGAGGGAGCGTGGGGGCTTGTGCCGTGTTCGTTACGCGGCGCTAACGATTAGCCACAGAGTGGCGCGGTGCAGAGTGGAGGGAGGCGTCGTGACCGTTCGGAGCACGGCGCACTCCGCTCGCTCCCCCTTTGTTGTTTGTTTGTCAACTCATTCGATGGTTGGCGCCGAGAGGCCGAGCAGGACCCGCGCGTAATTGTTTAATTTGCGAGCATAGGCTCTCTGTGAGTGCGTGTGGGCGTGTGTGTGTCGCGTGTGTGTTTGTTGTGTGTCTCGGCGAGTGGTCGGTAATGTTGCTTTTCTTTGTGTTTTTGACCGCGTGTGTACGTGTGTGTGTGCATGTGTGTGTCTACGTGTGTGTGTACGTGTGTGTGTACGTGTGTGTACGTGTGTGTGTGTACGTGTGTGTGTGTACGTGTGTGTGTACGTGTGTGTATGTGAGGAGCGGGAGTGAAACAGCGGTTAGCGCCCTGCGCTACGATTCCCGCTCACGGCCAACAGCAGTGACGATTATCTGAGCCGGTCCTGGGCCTCCCCTGGGTCGACTCAGCCTAAATGAGTAACTGGTGCGGTGTGTAAACATCGCCACTGGGGAGACAAAGGCGGCTGGGCGTGGTGTTGGCCACCCACCCCCCTCGTGTGCCGTGCCGGTCTTTATAGGTGCTCGCTAACAGCACTTGCCCCGACAGTCTGTTAAGGCTATACGGGGGATCTAAGTCTTTTGCAACAAGTGGTAGTGGCAGTGCAGTGTAGCAGCATTCTTGACGTTGCGTTATTAAGCAGCGAGGCCTTTGTGTTGCTGTAAGAGCGCACAAAGGAAACCAAACGATTTGAAGCATTTTCAGATTGCATTAAAAGAGCGGCGTGCACAAGTGTGTGTGTGTGTGTGTGCGAGGAGTGTGTGTGTGTGTGTGCGAGGAGTGTGTGTGTGTGCGAGGAGTGTGTGTGTGTGTGTGCGAGTAGCGTGTGCGTGTGAGTGGTGTGCTGCGAGTGGGGAGCGGTAGTGTAGTTGTCAGCGCGCTGCGCTACGAACCCCGCCCCTCCCGAGTTCGATTCCCACTCACGCACAACACCGTCGAGGTGTTGGGCCTCCCCCTTAGTCCAGTCAACCTTAACAGAGTACTCGTTGCGGTGTGTGTAGCAAGCATCGCCACTGGTTGAGACGAGGCAACCGATCGTGGCCTTACCCCCCCCCCCCCCCAGGCCGTAGCCATGGAGTCAACATTGGGGGGGATCAAATCTTCCGAGGGGTCTGGGGGTCCCCCCCCCAGAAAAAAAAATCTACATTTGAAAACGAATTTCCTGACATTTCCTGCAAAACATATTTTAAAAAAATTCACTAACACATTGGATGGACTTGTTATTTATATTTTTACAATAATGTCTAAGAGTGTATTGTATTACATTGCTCTGTTTTTTTACTTCTTACCTTTTATTGTTTCATTGTATGTAATAGCAGAGATTAGGGATTAATAAAGTACAGCCATAACCACAATCATATAAACAGATATCTATTTTATAGCGTTATATTGGGGGGGGGACATTTTGAGCATATCTATTATAATTACGTCCTTGAACACCCCGCCCCCCCCCCCAACTCTGTACGATGTGGCAGCCTTTAAATCTGTTCTCTCGTTAACGGCACTTACGCCAACAATCTACGCAAGCTCTAGGGTGGGCCGGATCTTTGCCTTTTGTGTGTATCGTGAGCGAGGGGTGTTTTGATTGGCTGGCGAGGTTGCGCGTGCGGTCGCTTTCCGAGTGTCCGCGGTTTGGTGGCCACGTGCTATCGACGGGTAGCCGTGCGGGGCTTTCAGCGTGAGAGTGTGTGGGGGGTAGTGGGGGGTAGTGGGGGGTAGTGGGGGGAGTGAGGGAGGGGGGGGGGGTCAAGGAAGCGGTGGCGCGGTGGTTAGCGCGCTGCGCTACGAACCTAAGCCACCCAGGTTCGATTCCCGCTCACGGTCACCGACAACAGTGACAGCGATTATCGCAACCAGTCGTGGGCTTATTGTAGGTCGACTCAGTCTTAAAAGAGTACCTGGTGCGTTTTTTATCGCAATTAGGGACCCATACGCTTTGGTTCTTTCGGTAAAAGTCACGGAGGTGGAAAAAATGTAAAATAAATGTAATCACAGTGATTTCATTTATTTTTTATTATTTTATTATTATTATGTTCCACCTTCGTGACTTTACCGAAAGAACCAAAGAGTATGGATCCTTGCAGTCACGAAAACTTTAAATCTAGAACACAATTAGGGAGACAAAGGCGGCCGGGTGTGGTGCTCGACACCCACCAACTCCTGTGCTGTTCCGGCCTTCATAGGTGCTCGCTACAGGCACTTGCCTCAACAGTCTGTTAAAGGCTATACGGGTGACCTGTGTGTGTGTATGCATATATGTGAATTAGTGTCTATCTCCACCAGTCTGCTGTCTCTCTCCCGCTGTGCCTCGGCTGTCTCTGCCTGTGCCTGGCCGATTTCCCTCTCCCTGCGGGGGACCCCCCCCTCCTCTGCCCCCACCTCCACCCCTCTCCAACTTCCCTCTCTCTCTCTTCCCCGTCTCTCTAGGCGTGCCGTCTATCTGCGGGCGCCGATTTATCAGCCCTACTGCCTTGCTAGAGCGGGGAGGGAGGGAGGGACATGAGTGGCTGTTAGTGCCGTCCTATCTCGCCTCTCTTCAGATTGAGATTGAGTGAGAGGGTGGCGAGAGAGAGGAGGAAAGTGTGAGCGGAGTGAGTTGGGCGGGGGGGAGGGAGTGCACAAAGTCGTTTTGTTTAGGGATGTGGATGAGCGGGGTGTAAGCGTTGTGGGGAGCGGTGGCGCAGTGGTTAGCGCGCTGCGCTACGAACCCGGCGTCCCGAGTTAGATTCCCGCTCACGGCCACCAACACCCAGTGACGATTATCTGAACCAGGTCCTGGGCCCTCTATCCGAGGTCGACTCAGCCTCACACGAGTAACCCGTCGTGTGATGTGCAATCGTCGCAACCAGGAAGACAAAGGCGGCCGGGCGTGATGCTGGCCACTCACCGCCTCGTGTGCCATGCTAGCAGCAACTTTGCCCCAACAGTCTGTTAGAGGCTATTCGGGGGTGGGGGGTCTTGACTTTTGAACTCTCCCCCTGAGACCTAACGAAGCCGTCCCCGGTTCGTGCTCAGCCCCCCGTAGACATCTCGAGAGGAGCCTCGCGGTGCGAGGAGCCACGGGGAGGGAGGGTCTGCGGAGAGAGCAGCAGACCCTGGTGGTGGTGGTGGTGGTGGTTGGGGGTGGGGGGGTACACCCACACCACCCATAGCCCTCGCCAAGCCCCCTCCCCCGCCCGCTATATTATTTGCCCCCCTCTGCCTTGGTTCGGGGTCGTGATTGCAACCGGCTCAGAGTCCGTGAGGTCAAGCAAAACTGGGCCAATGCGCACGTGGAATGCAAGGCAATGTAGGGGCGTCGAAACAGCCTCTCCACGCCGTGACGGTTCCCTGGAGAGGGGCGGTGGTTGTTGTTTAACCATACTTCACCACGCTGGTCAATCCTCGGCTCAGCGGCGTGCGCGCGCCTTACCCTCGGCCCACCACGAGGCTCGCTAGCTAGCCGTGGGTCGGTGAATCAAACTTGGGTTGCTTGTTGCTCGTTGCTTGCTTGCTGCTTGCCGCCAGCGGGCGAAGCCGTGAGGTTACTTGAGGTGGAAGAACATTTATCTGCCAGAAGCCATAAAAACAATAAACCGCGAAATGCAATCTCAGGCTCGCCGTCCTCCCTCCTCCTCCTCCTCCCACTGTCCATGCGACACAAAGCAGTGGCGTCATCATCTCTCGGTGCGCGCTCTTATATGGGAGACTTCTCCGCGTGATTAAATCACGGGGCTCTGATCTCTGTCATCAATCCTCCTGTCACTCCCCCCCCTCCCCGTCTGTCACTCCCTCTCTCTCTCCCTCTGTGTCACTCACACGCGCCCCCCCCCCCGTTTGTAACTCACCTCCGCGTATGTCACTCACCCCCCCATCCCCCGTGTGTCACCCCCCCCCCCCCCACCTTGTGTCACTCCCACCCGCCCCCGTGTGTCACTCCCCCATCCCCCGTGTGTCACCCCCCCGCCACCTTGTGTCACTCCCCCCCCCCCCGTGTCACTCCCCCCCCCCCCGTGTGTCACTCCCCCCCCCCCACCCCCCAGGTACGTGATCCCGTCTGTGCGGCCCGAGGACGCGGGCTCCTATCAATGCGTGGCCAGGAACAAGTTCGGGGCTCTGCTGCAGCCGCCCACGGAGGTGCAGGTCGTGTGTACGTACACACACACGGGCACGCGCACACACACGTACACACACACGGGCACACACACGTACACACATGTACACACACACGGGCACACGCACGCGCGTACGCACACGCGTACACGCACACGGGCACACGTACACAAAGACAACAGATCCCCAGTATAGCCTTGAACAGCTTTCTGGGGCCAGTGCTGTGAGCCAGTAGCGCCTACGATAACGGACGGTACTGCGTTATTACGAGGGTTTTGGGTGGCCAGCTCCACGCCGGGCCGCCTTTATATCCCCCCGATGCTGATGTTACCACAGCGCGGCGGGTACTCCATTTTGAGGCTGAGTCGACCTAACGGAGGGCCCTGGACCCTCATTGGTCGCCGAGTGTAGCGCGCTGCGCTAACCACTGCGCCACCACTCCCTCGCAAGCGCGCGCGCACACAACGACCCAACCCGGGCAGCTACGCAATCCTCGGCTCAGCGGCGTGTGTCTGCAGCCGATAAGGTGACAGAATATTACAAACACGACACCTGGACCACAAACACAAACAATCGACACACACAAACACTCTCACTCCCCCTCCTCGATCACGTGCAGAGAGGCTGCTACCTTGGCAGCGGCGTGGAGGTAGGCGCAGCGTGGTTCGAACGCTCACTCTATAATCATCATAGGACTTGCACTTAACACACACGCACACTCCCACTTAACACGCACACATTCCCACTGAACACACGCACTTAACACACACATTCCCACTTAACACACACGCACACTCCCACTGAACACACGCGCTTACACACAAAGACAAATATCTCCCGTGTAGCCTTAACAGACTGTTGGAGCAAGTGCTGTTAGCGAGCACCTATGAAGGCCGCCACGGCACACGAGGGGGTGGGTGGCAATCTTTACACAGCGCAACAGGTACTCATTTGAGGCTGAGTCGACCTAGGGGAGACCCAAGACCAGTTTAGATAATCGTCACCGGTGTTTGTGAGCGAGAATCGAACTCGAGTGGACGGGTTCGTAGCGCAGCGCGCTAATCGCTACACTACCGCTCCCCACACACACAGACACACACACAGACCCACACCGCCACGTGCATGCGGCCACGTGCGGCGGCTGTAGTGGTCATTTTAGTGCGAGCACATCTCCAGGGTGGAGACGCAGCGACCCGAATCACGCGGGAGAGAGACAGAGAGAGACCGACAGGCAGACGGGACCCCAGGCAGTCTCACAGGCAAACTGTAAAACAGAAAACGACAAATACAATTTTTATTTTATTTTAGCAGGTAAGGCCCCACTGAACTATATCGCTTTTTTTTCTTTCTCAGAAGCGACCTGGCTACCACAAACGATGGCTCGACGAAGTGGGTCGACACGTGGAAATGCACAGCATCCAAACACTCTAAACCAGGGGTCACCAACATTTTTGGCACCAGGGACCGGTTTCGTGGAAGACAATTTTATTCACGGACCGGTGGGGGGGGGGGGGTGTTTATCATTGGGTCTTGTCCCCTTTTCAAAGAAGCTCTCCAGCGACGTTTGTTTTGTGCTCATTGTGGCTACTAGGGGGTTATAGAGCTCGTGGGCTTACCAACACGGTGACTGAGACACGTGCGCAGTGCGGGAAAGAGGCGCGGACGGAAGTGGTCAACAATAAAATCATGGGGGCGGGTCACGCGTGGACTCACCGCCCTCACCTCCTGCTGCTGTGCGCCCCGGGGGTTGGGGACCCCTGCTCTAAATGCGGTGACTGTTTTTTTCAATGTGGAGGAGGAGGGGTGGTTCTGACAACCGGAGGAGCCGGAAAAAAAATCCGCGCGATCACGACGAGAGAGAGAGAGACGCGCAAACCTCCAAATACACAGCAGGCGTCAGGGTTGATTTCGAACCCACGACCTCCCGTGTACCAGGCGAGGTAGTTAACATCTCCTATCCACCGCAGCGCAAAGGGAAAAGCAAGGATCGGTCTTGAGCAAGGAGGGGTCGACGACACGGCGGCCCGAGTTCGATTTCCTGCTCACGACCAATAATAGTGGCGAATATTTGAACCGGTACTGGCCCTCCCCTAGGTTGACTCGGCCGCAAATGAGTTCCTGGTCCGCCAAGGTTGGCTGGAGGCTTCAAGAGAGAGCCTTACTTTAGCGGAACACGATGGTTGCTAAATATATACCACGTATGTATATATACAGCAGTCGGCTAACGTTTCGGGCCATTACCGTTGTTCAGGGCAGCTACTCGCAAGCCGGGCATAGTGACGCACGCCTGTAGGCAAGGGTTGGTGGAACACGGAGAGATGTGGGGACATTTGCAAACTCGCTGGGTCAGCTGCGGGTATTGACCCCCCCCCCTACCGTGTGAATGTGTGGGTGGGGTTAGTGGTGGTGTTGTATCCGTGGTGGTGGTTGTTGTTGTTGTTGTTGACAGACCTGGGCGAGGTGCAGGATGGGGGTGAGAGGCGCGTGGTGGTGGTGATGGTTGTTGTTGTTGTTGTTGACAGACCTGGGCGAAGTGCAGGATGGGGGTGAGAGGCGCGTGGTGGTGGTGGTGGTGGTGATGGTTGTTGTTGTTGACAGACCTGGGCGAGGTGCAGGATGGGGGTGAGAGGCGCGTGGTGGTGGTGGTGGTGATGGTTGTTGTTGTTGTTGACAGACCTGGGCGAGGTGCAGAATGGGGGTGAGAGGCGCATGGTGGTGGTGGTGATGGTTGTTGTTGTTGTTGACAGACCTGGGCGAGGTGCAGGATGGGGGTGAGAGGCGCGTGGTGGTGTCGCGTGGCGGGACCCTCATCCTGGACCCCCCCCGCGTCGCCAGCCACCCCCCCGCGCAGATCACGTGGTTCCGTGAGGGTCGCAAAGTGTCAACCGGACCCCGAGTGTGAGTACACGCGTGTGAGTACACGCCTGTGTGTGTGTCGGTAACGAGTGTGAGTACACGCGTGCGAGTGTGTCGGTAACGAGTGTGAGTACACGCGTGTGAGTTCCCGCCTGTGTGTGTGTGTCGGTTACGAGTGTGAGTACACGCGTGTGTGTGTGTGTGTCGGTAACGAGTGTGAGTACACGCGTGTGAGATCCCGCCTGTGTGTGTGTCGGTAACGAGTGTGAGTACACGCGTGTGAGTGTATCGGTAACGAGTGTGAGTACACGCGTGTGAGTTCCCGCCTGTGTGTGTGTCGGTAACGAGTGTGAGTACACGCGTGTGAGTACACACCTGTGTGTGTGTCGGTAACGAGTGTGAGTACACGCGTGTGAGTACACGCCTGTGTGTGTGTCGGTAACGAGTGTGAGTACACGCGTGTGTGTGTGTCGGTAACGAGTGTGAGTACACGCGTGTGTGTGTGTCGGTAACGAGTGTGAGTACACGCGTGTGAGTGTGTCGGTAACGAGTGTGAGTTCACGCGTGGGAGTTCCCGCCTGTGTGTGTGTCGGTAGCGAGTGTGAGTACACGCGTGTGAGTTCCCGCCTGTGTGTGTCGGTAGCGAGTGTGAGTACACGCGTGTGAGTTCCCGCCTGTGTGTGTGTGTGTCAGTAGCACGTGTGAGTACTCGCGTGTGAGTGCTCGCGTGTGAGTACCCGCGTGAGTTTCTGTGTGTGTAGGAGTACCCGTGAGTGAGTGAGTTCCCGCACGTGAGTATCTGCGCGTCTCGGAGTTCCCGTGTGTACGAGTACCCCGTGTGTGAGTGCCTGTAGCGGGGAGCGGTGGCGCTGTGGTTAGCGCCCTGCGCCGCGAACCCGGCGCCTCCCAGTTCGATTCCGGCTCACGGCCACCAACGCCAGCGATGATTATATCCCAAACGGTTCTGGGCCTCCCCCTTACGGTCCACTCAGCCGGTGCGTAAACATCGCCACTGGGGAGACAAAGGCGGCCGGCGGTGGTGGCGGTCACCAGCCCCCCACCCCCCACCTCGTATGCCGCGCCGGGAAGCTAGACAACAGCACTTGCCCCAAAAGTCTGTTAAGGCTACCTGGGGGTCTGGGGGGGGGGGATCTTTGTCTTTGTGTAAGCAGCTGCAAGGTAACGCGCGCTTTGTCCGGGCGCGTTCGGAATCAGCGGGGAGCCGATCTCATTCAACTATATCACACGGGGGTCTTCGAGAAGCGAGCTTCCCATTCACGCCGCTCTCACGAAAATGCGTGTCATGGAGTCGGTGATTGATGCTGCTGCTGCTGCTGCGTTTGCAGTCGTGCGCAAACAATAACAACATTGTTGTTTCATCATTAGACCTCCTTTGCCAGTAACAAGATATAGGAATAGGTTTTACCCTTTTAACTGGCACAAAAACTGACACCTTTATTCAAGGCATCATGTTTACAATGACCACAACACAAGCGGTCAAAATGTATGCACTGTCCGTGCATATTATTATCAGAGTTGTCTCTTTTGTTTGCATTTTGACTGCTTGGTTATTGCAAACATGATGCCTTGAATAAAGGTGTCAGTTTTTGTGCCAGTTAAAAGGGTAAAACCTATTACTATAAAAAAACATACTATGATAATATATGCATTGTCCTTGAAACGGATTGGTCCACACCAAGGGACAGCTTTCTTTTGAGCCTCGACCCAATTGGTGCTCGATCAGATGACGCCAACAGGCGTCACACAGCTCAAAGACAATGCACTATCAAAGTAATGAGGGCTCGGGGTGAGCATCCACATCATCAGACCTCCTTTGCCAGTACCAAAATGTAATAATAGGGTTTTTCCCCTTTTTTCTGGCAAAAAAACTGAAACCTTTTAACAAGGATTCATGCTGTGAGCGAGCAGCACCACGCCCAGCGATGTTTGCACACCGCAGCAGGTGCTCATTTGAGGCCGAGTCGACCTAGGGGATGCCCAGGACCCATTCAGAAAATCGTCACTGGTGTGGAACTTCGGTCGCCGGGTTCGCAACGCAGTGTGCCGACCGTTGCGCCACCGCTCCCCGCGTGGGTTTTGTTCAAGGGGACACACGCACACACGCACGTTGTGCTGAGGTTTATTGGAGTGAGCGACGCTCACAACAACGAGTGGAGCGCCGGGCGGAAAAAACACAGCATGTTGGCACAGTCGGGGGGGGGGGTGGGGGGGGGGCATCTGCCAGTCATCTCCGTCAACCGATGGCACCTGGGTCCGTGCCGTGACCTCCTGCCAGCAGCGAGCCTGCGACACTTCACGCTATAGCCTCAGAAGTGCACCTAGCTTGGCACAAGTGACGAGGTGACGTCGCCGGCACTTAGTGGCGAATGGCGCCCGTTGTTTTTGTCACGTTGATGGAGGTGCAATCTTGATTTGAAGCTTTCGTGACTGCAGGAATCCATGCTCTTTGGTTCTTTCGATAAAGTCACGTAGGTAGAAAATACAATTGTATTTTATTGATGGAGGTGCATTAAAGGCACCGCGGTTCCCGTCGGGTTATTACGTGTTTCATTCGCGGTTTTCAAAGATAAAATGAATGTTTTAATTGTCATTTAGTCTAATGCCTTCCTGTCCTCTGGGTAAATTCCGTGGAACTGTGAGAATAAAAGGCATTTAAAAAAAATTAGCTTAATCAGCCTTGTTATTATCGTACAATTAAATTATAGCCTTAATTTGAAATTCAAAAAATCTGCAGTTTCCTCCGTCTCGGGACAAATTGTAAGAAGAAAATATAAATACAATGTTGAAGGTTTTTTTTTTTAAGTGTGATAACACGCACACGCAGTGACGCTCACGCACACACACACAACAAAGACAAAAGATCCCCATGCAGCCTTAAAAGACTGTCGCGGCGAGGGCCGTTAGCGAACGCCTATATGAAGGTGGGTACGGCGCACGAGAGGATGGTGTTCGTCAGCACCACTCCCGGACGCCTTTGTCTCCCCCCGCCCCAATGCTGATGTTTAGACCGCACCACGTGCTCATTTGAGGCTGAGTCGACTTAGGGGCAGAACCGAGTCCCGTTCAAATAGTCGCCGCTGTTACTGGACGTGAGCAGGAATCGAACTCGGTTCGCTGGCCGCTACACGACCGCTCCCCGCACGATTCGACACGCGCGTGCGCTCACCGGCCACTCGCACACACAAAGACAAAGACCCCCCGTGTAGCCTTGACAGACTGTTGGGGCAAGTGCTGTTAGCGAGCACCTACGAAAGCCGGCACGGCACACGAGGGGGTTGGGTGGCCAACACCACGCCCGGCCGCCTTTGTCTCCCCAGTGGCGATGTTTACACACCGCACCGGGTACTCATTTGAGGCTGAGTCGACCTCGGGGAGGCCCGGGACCGGTTCAGATAATCGTCCCTGGGTGTTGGCCGAGAGCGGGAATCGAACTCGGGTCGCCGGGTTCGTAGCGCAGCGTAGCGCTAACCACTACACTACCGCTCCCCACTCGCACACACGCACACACACACGCACACACGCGCACACACACACACACGCCGCTCATTTAATGCAATCTAAAAATGCTTGAAATCATTTTGTTTCCTTTGTGCGCTCTTACAACGACACAAAGGCCTCTCTGCTTAATAACGCAACGTGAAGAATGACGCGGAATATGGAATAGCGGCAAGAGCGGGTAATTACAGCCGCCTCCCGGGACCACGGGGGGGCACCCCGACCCCCCCCCCCCCCTGCTCCACAACTCTCCCTCCCTCTCTCTCGCTCAATTCCACCCTCTCCCCAACTCTCGTTTTGTGTTTTTTTTACGATCAGAGGAAACAAGAAGATGCTCGGTGTAGTCGTTCGTCATTTCGGTTTTTTGTCAATGCTTTGCTTTATGTGCCCCCCACCCCTTTTTTAAATGAAAGATTTCACGCTCTGCTCTTCTCCTTCTTACCCCTTCCCTTCTCTCCCTCTACCCCTCTCTCTACCCCCTCTCTCTCTACCCCCTCTCTCTACCCCACCCCCTCTCTCCCTACCCCCTCTCTCTACCCCACCCCCCCTCTCTCTACCCCCTCTCCCTCTACCCCACCCCCTCTCTCTACCCCACCCCCTCTCTCTTTACCCCCTCTCTCTACCCCACCCCTCTCTCTCTACCCCCTCTCTCTACCCCACCCCCTCTCTCTCTCTACCCCCTCTCTCTAACCCCACCCCCTCTACCCCCTCTCTCTACCCCACCCCCTCTCTCTCTACCCCCTCTCTCTACCCCACCCCCTCTCCCTCTACCCCTCTCTCTACCCCACCCCCTCTCTCTCTACCCCCTCTCTCTACCCCACCCCCTCTCTCTCTACCCCCTCTCTCTACCCCACCCCCTCTCTCTACCCCCTCTCTCTCTCTACCCCCTCTCTCTACCCCACCCCCTCTCTCTCTACCCCCTCTCTCTACCCCACCCCCTCTCTCTCTACCCCACCCCCTCTCTCTCTACCCCCTCTCTCTACCCCCTCTACCCCACCCCCTCTCTCTACCCCCTCTCTTTACCCCCTCTCTCTAACCCCACCCCTCTCTCTCTCTACCCCCTCTCTCTCTACCCCCTCTCTTTACCCCCTCTCTCTAACCCCACCCCTCTCTCTCTCTACCCCCTCTCTCTCTACCCCTCTCTCTACCCCACCCCCTCTCTCTCTAACCCCCTCTCTCTCTCTACCCCCTCTCTCTCTACCTCTCTCTCTACCCCACCCCCTCTCTCTACCCCCTCTCTCTCTCTACCCCCTCTCTCTACCCCCCTCTCTCTAACCCCACCCCTCTCTCTCTACCCCCTCTCTCTCTACCCCCTCTCTCTAACCCCACCCCCTCTCTCTCTACCCCCTCTCTCTCTCTACCCCCTCTCTCTCTACCCCCTCTCTCTACCTCACCCCCTCTCTCTCTACCCCCTCTCCCTACCTCACCCCCTCTCTCTCTACCCCCTCTCTCTACCCCACCCCCTCTCTCTCGACCCCCTCTCTCTACCCACCCCCTCTCTCTCTACCCCCTCTCTCTACCCCACC